CCTCACAGTCGCCGCCTCATCCGGTTCTCAGGCGACACCCGACCCGAGCGACCTCCCGCCCCGCCCGGGGATGCACCCAAACCCCTCCTGCCGGCACAGATTGGTCGGTCACGCTGCCGTTCCTATACGTAAGCCAATGAAAGGGAGGTACGGGCCTATGGCTCAGTAAGCCTTCCCCCTATGGACTACTCTGAAATTTCATTGGATAGAAGAACTGTCACTGTAATGCAACAGCCAATAGCAGCGGAAAAGTGAGTTATCAAGGCCGGGAGGCGGTGTTTCGGGAAGAGACACTTTGGCTCCACCCAATAGGAAGAGCCACTCTTACTGGTCGAATCAACGCCAATCAATAAAACTGAGCAATCATATTAAGGACCGATCCTTCCACAGGGGCTTGTCACTTGCCACTACCTAGTTCCCTAAATATTTCCCATTGGCCTATATAAATATCACTTCATGACTCTAACCAATAAGACAAAAGAGGGTGGGCCTTAACGTCCAAATTTTGACTCTGATTGAGAGTTGTACCTATCAATCTATAAACAGTCCCGTTTTCATTAGTTATTGTTGTCTTACAGTCTACTGAGGCAGAAGAAAAAATCCATGGTACTCGCCGAAGGGCGACACCTCGTGGTAGGACTCGATGATTGTGAATTCTGAGTTTCCGGTCTCTAGAGAGAACTAGTTTCCAGAATGCATCTTGGCTCCCTTTCTTCAAGCCGTATAGGGGAGCAGGATCCCAAAGCGGCCTGAGCGAGTCTGGAAATACTGGTGCTTGCTAGGGAGAGCCGTAAAGTCAGCCCTGGTCAATGAGGCGCGCCACACGCTTGGGCCTGGAATTGATGCGGATAAAGCTCCCGCGTTGTTTGCCTGCATAGCATGGATGATTTTTTTTTTTTTTTTTTTATACTGGGATCGAACTCGGGTCCTTTGCGCTTACGTAGCAGGCACAGGAACCACTGAGCTAGATTCCCTGGCCCAGAATGGATCTTCTTGATTAACCAGTGAACGCCAACGAAGCAGATCCTTAATTCAAAAACACGTTATTAAAAAAAAAAAAAAAAAAAAAAGATATTTTGCAGACAGCCTTGGAGGTTCTGGAATCTGGAACTCCTGAGCAGAAGTGAACTGAGGAGGAGCAGGGAGCTCGGCGAGGAGCAGAACTGCATCGCTCAGGCCGGCGACATTCATGAAAAACTTCTGGAAGAACACACAAATTCGGAGGAGTGGCCGCACTTCCAACAGGTGTCATTGCCTCAACTGCAAACATCTTAGTTTTGCTAGATGGGCGCATGCCTGTCATTCCTCGCACTCTGGGAACCTGAGGCAGGGTGATCACAAATGTTAGCCTGGACAATTTAGTGAATTGACGAGACCTCGGCTCGTCTAAAACTAAAAAAAAAAAAAAAAGAAAGGACTGAGTAATGAGGGTCCTAGATTCAATCGCCTGGATCCAAAACATAAAAACAAAAAAGCCTTAGTTTTTAGGGACAGCAGCTCTGTAACGGTTCACACTGAATGCACTTGATTTGGGCCTGTTTCCTGGGTGATTATTATGGTCTGAAGATTTCTGATCCCTGCTGATCCCTATGTTGAAGCTGACCCTACCCCCACCCCGTGTATGGTATTTGGAGGGAGGGATTACATCATGAAGAGACAGCCTTTAAAAATAGAATTAGTGTCCTTCTAAGAGAGCCCCGCGAGCTGCCCTTCCCCTTATACCACAGAAGAAGGCAGTAAAAAGATGGCTGAACCTGAGGGTGAGTTCTCGTCCCCCACTTCGTGGTATTTTGTTACAGGAGCTTGACTGGCCCGACATTTGAGAGGACCGAGTGACTTCACACCTTTGGACCTCTGAGGTGTGTCCTCAAATGGACACAGTGCCATGCTCACATCTTAATGTTACGACAATTAGCCGGACGTGGTGACACACACATGTCCCAGAGGCTGAGGCAGGAGGATCGCTGTGAGTTCGAGACCAGCCTGGACCACACAGTGAGTTCCAGGTCAGTCTCAACTACATAGTGAGACCCTGTCTCAAAACAAAAACAAAACAAACAAACAAAACAACTGGGGCTAAAACCTGGGACCTTCACATCGATCTACATCTCTAGCCCTTTTTTTTTTTTTCTATTTTGAGATAGGTTCTGTGTCACTTAAATTGTCCAAGCTGAGGCGAACTTGCAACTCTCCTGCCTCAGCTTCCCAGAGTAGCTTGGTTACTTCTTATTATCAACAGGAGGGTGCACATCCGCCACAGTGATACTCAGATGGCTAAGGAGCCCCACACCGGCCACCTTCCCAAGAAGACTCAGACAACACGTGCTAAGTTAGGATTTTGTTTTAAAGACCTTTTAAAAAAACCCTTCGGTATCTTCTGCCCCAAGCTCCCTCTGGCAGGCCAGTCAGCTCAGCGTTATGCCCACAGAGGCCAGGGCTTCAGTGGCCCAGAGGGGACAAAGTGTCTGGTCCCCGTACATGGTATTCATGAAGCTGCGCACGAAGTCAGGGAAACGCTTCTCCACGATGCTGGCGCGGATGGCGCTCATCAGCTGCAGCTGCAGGGGCCCAGGGTCAGCACTGGCACCGGGCGCCTGCCCCCACCCACACCTGCCCTAGGTACCCACCTACCTGGTAGGCGATGTTGTGCACAGTGAGGTGGTGTAAGGCAGCTGTGTTGTCGCTGTGCAGCAGGGTGTGCAGGAAGGCCCTGCTGTGTCTGCAGTCGGGAGGAGGTTGAGCGAGGACCAGCCCAGGCCCCTCAGCACCCAACTCCATCACCTTTTCGTTTGTTTGGTTTTTTTTGGGTGACGGGCTCTCCCTGTGTGGTTTAGGCTGACCTGGAACTCACTATGGAGCCAAGGCTGGCCTCAAACTTGGCAGAGATCTCCCTGCCTCAGCCTCCTGAGCGCTGGGATTAGTTGTGCACCACCACACCCAGCCTGATCACCTACTTCTTGCAAGTGGGGCAGGAGCACTCTGGGTCTATGGGGCCAAAGTCCTTCTCATACTGCTTTTTCTTCAACTGCAGCTGCCCGGTGGGCACCAGGGCAGAGCCAAAACGCTAGGGATGGGAAAGCGACAGGGAGAGAGGGTCATCCGATCCCTACCCTCCCTGTCCCTACCTTCCCCTCCCCCAGCCCACCACCCAGGCCCTCACCGCGGTCCGTGTGGGGTACACACAGTCGAACATGTCGCATCCGAGAGCCACGCAGACCACCAGATCAGTGGCATAGCTGGGGGTACAGGTGTGCAGGGGTGGGGGCAGCAGAGAGGCTGAAGCCCTGGGGCGGGATCCCTAGTTCCCTCCCTGCCGCCCTGGAGACAGCCGTGTCCTCCTCGGTTCCCTACGACAAGGCTGTGTCCTTGCCCCCCCATAATGACCCCCATGCAGGGAGAGGGGTGCCCAGAAACTGCTCCCCATAGGAGGGCTTGGTCTTCTCCCCCCAACATACCCGACCCCCATCAGGTAGCGGGGCTTGTCTTTTGGCAGCTTGGACGTGCTGAGTGCCACCATCTTCCAGAACTGTGCCTTGCTCTCGCCGCCGCTCAGGCCACCGATGGCGAAGCCTGGCACGTCCCTCTTGGTCATCTCTAGGGTACAGATGCTTCTCACCTTACCATCGTGTGACGTGACTTAAGAATTCTTGAATTTATGATATGCAAGACCATCCTTCTACCCATCCTGGTTCCTGCTTACGAGAGAGTCGTCACTAAAGTACACGAGAGCCGGGTGTGGTGACACACACTTGTAATCCCAGCATTCAGAAGGCTGAGGCAGGAGGACTTCAAATTCAACCCCAGCCTGAGCAACTCAGCAATATAAACTTAAAAGGAGTACAGGCCAGGGGTTTGGCTCAGTGGTTCTGCTGCCTGCCTTGCAAGCACAAGGGCCCGAGTTCGATCCCCTTACCAAATAAATAAATAAAAGGAGCAGGGATGTAGCTTAGGGCAAAGGCCTTGGATTCCACTAATGCCTGGATTTTAATTAAAAATGTGAAGCGAGGTGTGATGTCTCATGGCTATAATCCCAGCACTCGGGGAAGCTAAGGCAGGAGGGTATCCTGTTTAAGTGCAACCTGGGCAAACAACAGATTCAGTGAGATCTTGTCTCAAAACGGAATTTTAAATAGGGCTTGGACGTAGATTAGTACAACAGCCCTGGGTTTCTCTGCCGTGCTGCCATTACCACTGGAAAAAAAAGGTGGTGGTGGGGGGGAGAAGAAGGCCGGGGATTGAGCTCAGTGGTTCCAGCACCTGCCTCGCAAATACAAAGGCCTGAGTTCAATCCCCGGTACCAAAAAAAGAAAGGCGACAGATCCTTCCCACTGCATGCTTTACCCGCTGCCCTGTCAGCATTGGCACTCTTGGGGCCTCGGCAAGAAACAAGCCCAGGTTCTGCCCCCGGATTTACCTTCAAGACAAGTGGCTCGGAGGTCCGCATCCAGCCCACCCTGGATGATGGCGAAGAGCTTCTGCTTGTCGGGCTGCCGATGGGCTGCAATGCACCTGTCCAGCCAGCGGACCGACCTGCAACGGG